TAATTTTTTGAATTTTTAAAAACACCTGTTTTTAAGTAAAAATTACCATTTTTATTTTTAATTAATCTGCAGATATTTATTTTTTTTTTGAAAATGTTGATGTATCTCAATCGAAATTCAAACAAAAAATAAACAATACGTATCCTTTATAATTTATAACATAACGAATTCCTTGACTAACTTTTTTCGTAAATATAACTAAATAAATATTATATAATAATATATTTTATGTAATATGTTCAAGTATAGGTACTTAACATTATTATCTTTAATGCATAATTCGTAAATTATTCGTTGAATTTTAATTCAATGTATAACATCAACATTTTCAACAAAACAATTTTGATGAATAATTTAAATTGCATTACCACATTATACTCCTTAAGTGAAACAAAAATCATATAAGCACCTATTCAAAAATATAATCTTCAACTTTATTTTAAAATTCCAAAAATTAGATTTTTATAAACTACGTTATTAAGGACAAAATATGAGTTAGTTTAGAACGTTTAACGAATAATCCCATATAAAACTAAAATAAAGTTATTTGGATTAAAATAAAATATAAAAAAAAATTGTGTTTTCGTTACATAAAAGCCATTAATCAAATTAATTGTCATGAAAACAATAGATATTCATAACTTTCATTACAATCACAATGCTTGCGGATATTTAATAACAAAATATATTGTTTTTTTAAATGAAAACTATTCTTTTTATTACAAATTGTTGAGTAATGGTTATTTTGAAAATATTGATGTCTCTAAATAAAAACTCTAACGAGTAGTTTCTGGATTATTAAAATCTAATAAGTAAGGACCGCAGAAGTTCATATACTAAATCTACTGAAATATATACATATATATATGTGCTCAAATAGTTAAATTACTGATGTAAATTATATACAATATGTAATAAAATTTTAAAAAATTAAAAAATCCTTTTAATACAATTTTTATTTAAATTACGCTGATTGATAATTAAAAATATTATTTTATTATTCATTTAAAAATTAAATTCTAAATTTCAATAGAAAATTACAAATTTTTATATATTATGTGTATTATACGAATAGAAAATTAGATTTCTCTATCAAATAACATCAGTCACTTTTTTTCTTAATAATTTATGTATTAATAATTCATGTAAATAACTATTGTTAGTGCCTAACCACTGGATTAAGAAGAATGTAAAATATAATATTTTAGTAGTAATAAATTATTTATTACATCTTAAAACAGTACAAATATATAAAATACGGCTACGTCATCATCGATAATTTCATATAATATTATGATAATTTACGATTGCAGTATAAAATATACAACAATAATTCTACGCATATTTAAACTACATTAAACGTATAAATAGTATTATATAGTACACACGCGAATAAAAATTGTATACTAAACAGAAAATGTTATACAATATATGCATATATATATATATATACATAAATGCAGATATATCTTATACTATTATACACTATATTAAGACTTAATAGAAAACTAAATTGAAAATGAACGAACAAAAATCATAAAAATAAAACAAATAATGAAAAATGCTTGGTCAGTCGTCAGGATGTTACCGAAGGTGGACTACATAATATGCATATATCATGTCATTTACTTATAAGACATAAATATTGATATTATATTTCAATGAATGGATACTCAAATTTAGGCTATCTTAAAAAAAAAAACTCATGATGATAATAATCGGTAATCAGTGGCATACAGATGGGAAAAGGGTTTAGCATAAAATCCTCCTAAATATAAAAATAAGAAATAAAAAAAAATTTAGTTTTAAATGGTTAGAATAAAAAATATTCACAGTGAAAATTTAACTTACTCGTATATTTGAAGTTTAATATTTTGCCAATTATGATGGAATAAAAAAATAATATTTTTACGTAGATACTAAGTATTGTTTATCATTATTTAGTGGGTTAAATTATTTAATTTTACATGGGTACATATTCTTTTTTTCAGATAAAGCCTCAGCAACTATGGCCATTGGAAGAATTAAATTACATATTACGTTTACATTTGATCTTAAATTATACTCATGTATTATAATTTCCTAACAAATTTTAATATCATAAAAAATCCAACGTAAAAACACAAACATTATTTGTGCAACATTAAATTATACATAGAGATACAAGCACTCGAAAACACATCGAAGTTGTGTTTATTGAAAATAATTAAAATATTAATAATACTATAAATATTATGATTAAATATAACATAAATCGTTTACCTATTGTATAATATGGTAATATATCCCTCAAATTTAATTTTTTTTTTTTTATTAAACAAAAATAAAACTTTCAACAACAAAAGTTATTAGCGTGTAAATTACATTTTACATTTTTACATTTTTTTTTCACTTAAATATTATTGTGTGAATTAAATTAAATTAAATAGTTTGAATATTTTTAGGAAATTTATTACTTTTAAGTTTAAATCTTTGTCAGGTCCTATGATTTCTGATAATTGTTCAGGCAGATCGTTTTTTATCCTGAGTTCTTTGTTTTTAAACACTCAATTAATATGTGTTTTACTGATTCGTGTTCTGCATGTAGTACAAATTAATGGTTCTTCTTTGGCCAATTTAACTTTTGTTTAACAAGTATTTTGCTAAAAATTTCCGCCAAAATTAAAAAAAGTTTGATTATTGTTTCGACAAAATCTAGTTCTTCCTAAAATCTAAATATCAAACAAATGAAAATCATTTAAAATCGCCCAGATTAGGTTGACAGTGTTGGAACTCAAAAATTGTTTCACTTAATTTATATATTCATTTTATTTCATTTTATTCATTCATAATTATTTAGTCTTAATAATGTTTTTATTATAATATTATAACTAACAATAGTTTTTAAATAGATATCAGATACATGGGCATCCCCAGACATTTTTCTGGAGGGGGGAGGGGGCAAAATTAATTTAAAAAATAAATAAAGATTTTTTTTATTCATTTTATTTATAGTACATTACATATTTTGTCATTATTACAATTAGGTATTATTATTATATATTTTATTTATAAAACATTATTATGTTTCGTCAGTATAACATTAAATTATTACAATTAGAAAAACAAATTTAAAATTCTAAGGGGGGGGGGGAAGTGCCCCGTCTTGACCCCTGCTAGGAACGCCTATAATTAGGTACTGTTTAAAAAATTTCTATATAGGTGGATAATAGATAATTTCATTTTATTACTTTGTTATTGCTGCAGTTGACGTGATAATTTATCCGTTTTGAATATTTTTTATTTTTTTATTTTGTATATTAAATATATTTTTAATACTTCCATTTATTTGTATTTGTATAATAATTATAGTTTGAACGCTTGAATAGCTTAAATTAAAGTTTTTATAATATCATGTCATTTGTAAAACTGTTCATGTTTACTTCCACACGGAATGGTTCAAAATTATTAATTGTTGTTTTACATAGTATACTTTTACCACTGATTATAGAATTACTATTTTTGAAACTATAATTTTCAGAATACTTTGAAAAAATAACTTTATAAAATCAGAATTATTACAATAGTTTTTAAATCTCTAATGAAAATTTTGGAAAAAATTAATTTGATGGTAACAAATACCAAATATTTTTTTTCATTTTAACGGAAATGCCGTATAGGTAAATGATAATTGGCGGAAACGAAAATGTATTTTTTACGAAACCAATACACACCTGGTATTTTTTGAATTTTTATCAGTGTATATAATCTATAAAACCAGGAATTAACTATTATAATTATTTTCAATAAATATTTTGTATTAAAAAAATATATTTTTTTTTTGAAAATACATAATTTATAATCGAGAAAAAAATTATGATTATTTTAAACAAAAACATAGATACTTAATTATTTATAATAATTTATAATAGAAATACTATGTATTTCAATGTCGACTCAAGGATCTATTCTGCACCCAAGATATGAAAAACTCACTCCTTTCCTACCCAACCTGCTTATACGAAAATAAAATAGATAGCAATTAACATGTTCGTAGAAATAAAAATTGATTTTATAGGCATTGGTGTATTTTAATTTTATTATCTTTATTCTTACAAATTACAAAATAAGATGTTTCTAGCCGGTATTTAGATCATAAATAGTTAAAAATTACGTATTATTTTTATTGATAAAATCATATGGTAAATGTACAAATGTACAAGTCACAAGGTAATAAATAATTATATAATAGCGTTTTTAATTGAGACTAACTATAATAATTATAAGTTAAAATATTCCTTTAAGACTAAGCTAGGTTACAGAGTTGCTCAAAATTTATAAATACCTATATAGATACCTAAGTATTTAATATTTATTCAATATATAGTTCAATTGTATAATAATAAATCACATTATTTTGCTAAAAAAAAAAATTAAAAAAAATAGTGTCAAAAAATCTTATATATATTTTCTTCTCATAGCTCAATCGTTAAAAACTCTGAAAAGTTTGTAACATTATAGAAATCATGCATTGTATCATTGGTGCATGGACCTATAAAATGTTTTATTAAATATTCTATAGTCTATTGAATTATATATTACATGAATTCGTATATAATGTAGATATAAATTTAATAACACATTTAATTTATAAATAACTAAAACTGTCTGAAACTTCGAGCAATGTTTTAAGAAAAAAAAAACTCTAAATAATAGCCAATAGGTAATATTGCGTAGATACATAGACGTAGAATTGCAGTAGACAAGAAATACACAAGAAGTAGTAGTTAGTAGTAGACAGTAGTGTGTGGATTATACATATATAATTATATATTATGATATTTTATACCTACTTTACAGGCTAGTGATTTCAGTATATGATTATAGTATTGTAAGTTGTACTGCTATGTCGGAGTGACAACAATAATATAAGTACACGGTGAGTGGGGATTCTCTTTAAGGCGGCGGCCGTTCGTCGTAGCGGTCGGTCGCACTGTTGCCGCGAATCGTGTGTCTGTTACCTCCACCCCGGTGGTGTTGAGCCACGCACTGTTTCTGAATTACGTTCCGTTTTTCACTTTTTTAGTGGCTCTGCAGTTCGCAATTGCGCGCGCAACAGTTGTCACGACGACGTTTTCACCGATAGTTCGTTATCACTAGTCGTCCGCGTTTTTTATCAGTCTCACAGTTACGTGAACGAAATAATTTCCATTGCCCAGCGATTCGGGCATTTGAATAATCGAAAACGGTTTTCGCACGGCTCGGTCGCTGTAAAAATTCCTGATCATTTTTCTGCTCATCGCCGCGGGCTGTTTGCGCGATCAGTTTTTGCACAATCAACAAGCGATTTTTTTTGTCTGGTGAAATTTTGTGCAATAAATGAGTTTTTTGACCGAAGTAGGTCGCATCGATACATTTTTTTTTTCTTCGCGACATACTAATTGTGTGCAATATTCCGCATTACCTTATAAATAACACCAAACGGTTTATAATTATTGTCAACGCGTTGTCCCCGTCTTTGTCGAGAAAAATATAACAGTGGACCTATCTATTTCGGTGAGTAGATAGTCTACACATTATAATTTGTTGGTAATCACTAATCATCATTACTGTATTTTTTTATGATTGGCTTTGTACAGTTGTCAAGTTAATAAATTTATGTTATTCACTTACCTACCAATATTTTTTTATAAGCTAACTAATATAGGTAACAGAGTATTGTTCTAAAAAAAATGATATGATATACATATATTTCTAATCATACCAAATTTTTAAAATTTTATAGCTTAGAATTATAACTAATGTCTGATGGACAGATACTAGGAATTGATGTATTACCTATGATATATCAAGTACCTACCTACTATTAATTTTAAATGTTAAAACATAGATTGCTTACAATATATACCTATATTTTTGTTTTTGCTTTATTCTTTTAATCTAATTTATCTACTATTAGTCCTATTGATCTAGAGCTAAAATATAACACATATTTTTTGCGTATGTTAAAGTAATATATTTACTTAATTAAAATCATTTACTTAGGCATTTATTGGTACAAATTATTACTGTTCTTAGCTCTTTTTGTTTGATCAAATAAATCATATAATTAATGATTACATCACTATACTATTCATAAGTAATTATTTTACAAATAATATTTTATATTCTGGTCTACCAAAGGTAACTATACAAATAGATGTATTTTATTAACTGTACATAATACTGTAATGTGTAAGTATGCATCCATTTCTAATAATGTATATTAATTATTTTTTTTAATATTCATTAAATAATTTTAATTTTCCAATTCAAATTATACCATCTTTATTGACTATTATTGACATTGTTGAACTTCAGTACCTAAAGTTAAAATGTTTTAGTTGGTATAATTTGTATATATTTTTTTCAATTTAATAAAGTTTTCAAGCTACTATTGTTTTTTCAAATCTTGATGGTTGCCAAGCACCAAAATAAATTTGAAAGGTTATACAATGTATATTTTAAATATATATACACAAGATATATTATATGATTCTTTATCATTTCTTAAATATAAAAATAAAAAATTACAATAAATTAATTTTATTTATGTTAGTAAAATTATCATTTGTCTGCAATTTATAAAGTTGTATACAATATAACTATAAAATTTGTTATTCCCTTCTTATGTGATAGATTATTAGAAAAATTTTAGTTTTAAATATTAAACAGTTAATCAACAATTATGCCAAATAACGCATTAAATCAAAATATTTTGGGATACAGAATAACTTAAAATTGAAAATACTAAATTATAAAATATTAAAATTTAATCTAACTTTGATAATTATACCATAGAATAAAATAATTATGTATTAATATTCTAGATAAATATTAATTACATGTAAAAAATGTTTTTATTACTTATCATGATGTATCTTTCTAATATTTTCTAATATTTGTGTATTATCGTAAAAATAACATATTCTGTACTAACTTGGTACCTACCAACCTAGCTATACATTTTTAAGTTAATTATATTATCTAAATTTAGATCCCAATGATACTATTATTAGTAAATTATTACATCTCTATGCTTTGCTTATAGAAAATCCTCAAGGAAATCTTATGCCAAAAAAATTGTTGATTAACACAGGTTATAGGTAACTATTAGCTTTCAATGGCATTGCACATTGTTTATTTGCATTCAAATATATTATGGTTTATTTATTAATTTATAATTCCTTAAATTTGAGTAATTTTCTCACATAATAATCTTAACTAATACATATTTAATCAAAATTAAAGATTAATAATACATATTATTACCTACTTAAATTTTATATTTTATTACAATGTGTTTAAAACAGATATGTAAATTCTACTCAATATAATATGATTTTAAATAAACAAAAAAATGTTTAATTATTTAAGATAATAAAATTGGACTATGACTCTAGATTTGAATATAATATTATAAGTTGTAAAAAAAAATTAACTTTAACATTTTATTCATGTAACCAATCAAAGTGATGTATGAAGTTAATTTTAATATCTATATTTAATCGGTGTTGTTGAAGTGTATGTGGTTACAATATCTGATAATTAAAAGAATTTTGCTCATGATAAAGTATACTATTTAATCTATCAAGATTTTATCTGTGATATATTCCTACTAATATTAGTTATTTGAGTATCGTTTAATCTTTAAAATACCATAATTTTTAAAGGGTTTATCCCATTTACCTAAATTATTTTGGTCAGAATCTAGTCAATTTGATTACTATTTCTATATTTTTGAATTAAGTACCCAATGAAAAATAATTTTGATAGTAGGTAAGTGTTGTAAATTATTACAAAAAAAAAAATGTATTTAGCCAAAATAATATTTTTGATAAACAACCAAAATGTGTACAGCTCGTTTGTTTTTAATCAGTAGAAATTAGATTAAGAAATATCTACTGTTTTTAACAGCATGTTATTGCATTTTTCATTAAGAAATCTATTTCTAATTCGTTTATGTTCTCTAACAAAGCCACAAGGGCAGGTTAAAATAATTTTTGTCATATTTACCTATAACTATTACGTATTTATCAATTATATTGTAAGGACGATATTTAATCATATATAATTGACAAAATCAGTTAATTACAAATTGAAACCACTGTAAACAATTTGAAAATTTTCCACTATGGTAAAACATCTTATTTATAAACACTTAAATATTAAATCATAAATTAAATTATAAAAACATGAATCATAAGGTTTGCAATTGAGATGATAAAATAATATCTAGATGATTTCCTGTTAGGAAATTTTATATATTTAATACTTGCATTTTATGCATGAGGGTATTTTATTAATTTTTTAATTGGCAGATAATATTTCACTGAAATATCTATAAAGTAATAAAAAGTGATATAAACATTTTCATAATTTGAAATAATTTATTTTCATTTATAATATCTATTAAAATGTTAACCGTGGTCCATGGTTCCTTTATTAAGATTTTGAAATCATTGAGCTTTTAATTTTTTTTTATTTTACTAATATAATATTTGATTTCTGCAATATTATCATATTAAAAAAAAAAGTTTATTATTTATAAATTAGTAAAAATATTAAGTAAGACCATTTACATTATAATCAATATAAATGTTTCAATTTTTTAGAATATTTTTTAATAGAATAAATAAACAAATAATAAATATGTTTTGTAAAATTATTACCTATCTTATAATTATTTAAAATACATTAATTATTATAGTCAATCTTTTATATCATTATTTTAATTGTTAATTTATGTATAGATAAAATAAGTTACACAAACATTTATTATCTTTATCTAAGGTGAATCCATATTTTGTAAAAAAAAATTAAAATCATACAATTGTGGGTTTAGTGTGATTTTTAATAAGTTGAAATATTTGGATAATTGTATACAGGAATAATTTATGCTTTTTATTTTTATGCCTAAAGTAGCTATGTTATAAAAATACATTATTCATTAGAATCTTGATCTCAAAATTCTATGAAATAAAAAAAAATTTAAGTCATCCTTTACAAAATCAATCATGTTAATTAATAATTAACATATTAATCCACAAATATTTTAATGATATTTATTTTTTTCATTTTTCAAGATTCTATTATCAAGTTTATTAGTTTATAAAATCACTAATTATTATCAATACCTACTATAGTATGTTATAGAATCAATAAAAATATAATATAATTATAATACCTTCATATAAAACAAATTAATAACCAAATAATATTAATCAGTTTTGAATTTTAGATTAGATTATCTATCATTTTTGTAAATGTTGTTATAATATTTACTTCCGTGTAATCTTTTTAGGCTTATTTGATTATAGGATTTAAATTATACGTGTTAATTTAACTTAATTAAAGTAAATCGTTTGTAGTAAAAAAATATTTTGCCAATAGACCAATTTTACGACCATCAGTTCTTTAAAACTTAATTAAATTTACATATTTAAATACATTTTGTAGATATGATCAAAAAATCCATTAGGATGAACAAGCCATCGCTATGTTGGTTGGTATGACGTGGCGAGAAAGTGGCCAACATAGCTGTATTTAATTTATAAAATGTAGGTACAATAGTATTCTATATAATTATGAAATGCGTCATAATTAGTCACATTTATAATTTTTATTTATTTCTTTTTAATACTTACTTAATATTATTTACATAACTAGGTATATTTAATAATTTTCACTATTATTATTACCTTTTCTTTTAATACTTTTTTTGCTGTGTATGTATATTTATCTTCTATATGCGCATGTAGAAGATCTGCGAGACCGCGTGTACTATACGTGTCTTTTGGAGGTGAACACTGACTGAACAACTTTCACAGTAGCACACCCTTCTCTTGCGAACACGTGATGCAACTATGTCATCAACATACACATTACATGTATATATTGTTCTTTAATTAATGATCGATGTGTGTATTATCATTTTATAAACTTAGAAAAACTGATCGACTTAGAACCATTTCATATGTTAATACAATTATACGTTCAGTGTTTTAGAAATATTATACTTTGGAAAATCAAATTACATCAATAAATAAGAAATGCGTAAATTTTACTTTTTTTAAATTTTATACTTTAGAACCCAAAACATAAATGTTGTGGTATAATTTTAGTAAAATATATTTATTTATTTGTGAACAAAATTAAATGTTCATACCAAGGTTAGCTAGTTTTTACTTGTTATTTTATATTATTCGCAATATCTTCGTATACATTAACTAATAAAATATCAAATACATTGTTGTTAAAGCACTTAAAATAACGTGATTTTGAGAGAATCTCGTGTAGCTGGAGTTAGGTCCTAAAATAGTTGATATCTAAATAACTCTTAGGTATATATACGAGTAATTGTATATTTTTAGAGGACACCGAACTAATATGTGCTCAGCAAAATTAATTCTGTGTGGTAAAAATTAATAACAGAGTACATTAAATCTATTACAAATCTAAAGGTAAATATTTAGGGAATCTCATAGTTTTTTTATTGATATCGAAATCCAAAAGTC